AACGGCTGATTCAGAAACCAGACGCACCCTTTGGAAACCAGAAGCCGTGATTAGGGAACGGTTCTCAAAACTCGGTAGAGCATGGATGTTGTCAATATCATGGTTGGCCCATGGATGCTCTCTTCTCAGTACGCAGTCTACCATGGACGTCATCATGGGTGGTGCATGGATGCTCGCAGTAGACCACCTGCATGGATGCTCTTTTGTCAGAGAGCATCAGACCATGGACGTTATCATGGTTTGGGCCATGGATGCTCTGTTCTCAGAACGGATTACACCATGGACGTCATCATGATTGGGCTGTGGATGCTCTGTGCTCAGAACGCATTAGACCATGGACGTTATCATTCCCCCCTCCTGGATGCTCTCTTGTCAGATTGCAGCAGGCCATGGACGTTATCATGATTGGGCCATGGATGCTCTTTTGTCAGAATGCCTCAGACCATGGACGGTATCATGGTTCGGTTGGGCACTGTATGCTGTGTGCTCAAAACACATAAATTAGACCATGGACATGATCATGGTTTGGCCCTGGATGCTTTGTGCTCAGAATGCATTAGACCACGGACGTTACACTATCCCCCCCAACCCCTTCTTGGATGCTCTCTTGTTGCTCTGTTGTCAGAATGCATCAGGCCATGGACGTCATCATGGTTGGGCCATGGATGCTCTGGGCTCAGAAAGCATATTAAGCGATGGAAGAACGCAGCAGACTCATTAGACCAGCTATCATGGTTGGGCCATGGATGCTCTCTTCCACCACCCCAGCATTGCCTCCAAGCCAGTTTCTGATACGCGCCTCGAGTTTCTGATACGAGCTGGCTTCCGATGCGCCGGTCTCTGATGCACGCTGGCTTCTGATGCGCAGTTTCTGATACACGCTTGTTTCTGATGCGGGGTGGTTTCTGATGCCTACTTTCTGATGCGCGGCAGTTTCTGATGCGCCTCTGGTTTTTGATGATCAGTTTTCTGATGTGCAGTTTCTGATTCAAGGCCCAGTTTCTGATTTTGCAATAGATCCACCAGGCCGTGGCGCACAGTGTTGCAGTCGTGTCAAACAAAATCTTCAGATCTTTGCAAAAGCCGATTCTTGCAGTCCCGAAACTTTGCAAAACATAATAGACAGGTTAAACTCTGCTGAAATCCCGAATACTCAAGACGTGGTGCGACCCTAGACCACTTCGTGTCTTTCAAAAGGCCTCGTCCAACCTTGTCGCCTACAGTAGCTGGTGTCGGGCTTCAAGCCGCAAGCCGACCTCCTACGATCTCCTACATCAACCTTCGTTTGCCCAAAGCCAGGCTCTCCAAGAGAGCATTTGTCCCATTGAAGTGCCGCGCAGCCCGACGCGCACAGCCAATGGACCCTCCTCCTCTCTCCTCCTCCCATGCAGCCCACCCATGCAGTGTAGCCACCCCTGTAGCACCGGACTCTGAATCTCGGTCGTTCTTTCTTATGGCGCAATGGGTCAGACTGGACAATTTGAGCAACACCAAGAATTCTCGGACTTCTACTTGCTAGCCCGAATGGCACTCCAACACCGCATCTCTCCACCTGTATCACCGCCCTGCGTGCCTCGTATGTGATTGCTGCAATGGTGTCTGCAGCAACGGTTTCCGCTTCAGATGCTGCTTGCCACGCCTGACCGAATCTGTAGAAGCACTCAGGCTCAGGCTGTGATCTCCACTCCAAGCCTTCGTCAGCTGGTCCGTCTCGGCGTTTTCAGTCTCACTCACATCAGGGTTCGAGGGACCCGTCAAGGGACGCCTGCCCGACCGGGGTATCGAGGGTGTCGGAATGCAATTTGGTCGCGAACTAAGACTAAGAGAGTACAAAGAAATGTTTCTTCGTCCGGATCCTTCGAAGGCGCTCCATGAGGCCACAGCCACGACAAAGAGGGACGCTGCCCAGCTTGATCCGTGCGGCGGCCTGCGAAGTAAATGCCGAACTCCAAGACATCTGTAGCATTCCCCAACAGCCATGCCAATCCAGCGATGAGCACCCCTTGAAGTTCAATGGCCTTTAAATAACATGTTACAAACTGCTTCCAAACAGAAGACATCCTGGGCCGTGGGTCTGTGCACTTTGCCTGTGTGGCACCATGAGCTTTGCAAGGCTCTCTTTACAGTCAGTAGGGGTGCGACCGGCCGGTCGGCCACAGAGGGGGTTGCCGGAATATACTTCAAATCTTGATCTGTGGGTTTCTGAAAAGTTGCGGGGATAGTCGTCGCAGTAGTTGAAACGAAGTTGCCGACATAGTTGGAAAAAAGTTAGAGGTGTAAGGGGGAGGGGTGAGGTTTTTTGTGACTTTTTGTTGTTGAACTTTGTTCAACTATGTTTCGACGATTGTTCAACTGTTTTGAACTTTTTCCAATTTTTTCTAGGGAAAAGCTGGATTTTCCGAATCAAGTGCGAATCCAAAAAGCCGGTGCAAATGCTTAGAATCTTAGAAACGTCAAAGGTCGCGCAGAAGGCGAACTCAATGAGAACTGCAAGCTGCACCGCAAAGACAGGACGCAGTGGACAAGACTGCGGCTACAAAGCACAATCACATGTTGTTCTGCGGCAACGGGAACGAGGGCTCAAAGAAGCAGACTCTACACGAGTCCATCCATTTTTGTTGTGAAGAATTGGAGAAGCTTTGGAGGAATGGGAACAAGCTGGGGCTGGCGGGGCACTCGCACTGGAACGAACTGCTGAGACAGGTTGGGGGAGTCATGCCGTCGAGGCAGAACTGCTAGTTTCATATAGTTTCATATGGTGTGGCACGGTGCGACAACGTGAAAGGCTGTTTACGGTTGACATAGGTTGCTTGCCGAAGCATGAGATTCTGACGTTTTGTTGGCGCTGAGAAGCGGTGCCTTTCGTAGCTCGAGCTCTCGAGCTCCCGCCAAGGCTCGCTTTAGCTCCTCGTAGAGCCGCTCCTGCAAGCGCAACAAATCGCAAGCAAGCAGCCCCTAAACAGCCCCAAGCAAAAAGCTGCTCAAAGGGGTGCTCCTGCACGGACGTCCCACCTTCTCTGGTGAGGAGATCCTTTGATACAGCCTCGCATGTTCTTCGTTTGCTGCATGCGAAAACAGCTGAGAGAGCTCGCTGCAGGTGCGATGTGAATGAGATCCACACATCCTCGAAAAGCTCACAGCTGCGGCACCATCGACGCAATCGCTGGTCCATAGTCTCCCTCGAACCGCTGCTCGTGGAGGAAGGTCTCGAGAGACCCAAGAACGAGCCTGGGCCCTCCTTGCGGCCACAGACCAGGACCGCCAGTGCCTTTGCTACAGCGGCGCGGGCGGCGTCGCCGGTGCCGGGTGCCTTCAAGAGGCCCGCGCGCCAGAGGTCTCCCAACAAAGGCATCGCGGCCACGGCTTCCTCCATCGACCAGAAACCGCTCCGGAGCATGCTCACGCACCGCCCAGAAACTGCAGTCGCCAGCGCTGTAAACGCCATCCGATGCGTCGAAACACGCCCGGATATCTGGAGAGCAACACGATGCAGATTCTCCTCGAGAGATTATTGCAACAAGCTTGCCGTGATAGAAACCAGCGAGCTTCCGAACTGCATCTGGGGCTCCAATGTGCAGCACTCTTCCAAAGGAGCCTGGGGCTGTTTTCCGCAAATTTGCGGGTGCTTCACTTCATCAAGCGCTTCATCCAAGGTTCGGCAAAAGTTGAAGAAAGTTGACCAACCAGCTGCGAGTGCGGACCACCAAGTCGCCTGAGGTCCGCTTCGCAGCCGCACATGACATCATCTGATAGATTCGCAAAATGCTTCGCAAGTGCTATCTGGGTCACGATTTCACTTTCGCGGGTGTGGACGATCTGCTACCGCCCACCTTCACTTTTTGACGACTGCTGCTTGCATCTCTGAAAGAATGTCTCCTTTCAAGACTTTATTCGCCTCGGTTCGGCCAAGGCGGTCAGAGTTCCCATATGGGGATCCCCTGTTTCCCCTCCTCTGCCTACCCTTCCTTATCCTGGCCCGCCCGATCCCCGGGCAAGTTTTGTGTGCTCCAGTTTCGCCCTGTTGTTCCCACCCCCTCCACCCAATCCGTCCCAGGCCCAGAACTCCCACTTAGTCAGGATATGGAATGGTTGAGCGTTTTTGGTAAAAAAACCGTTCGGCTTCTAACGGGCTCTGCCAACGGGGGCTGCCACAAAAACGGCTATGCATTTGTTGTTCTTTAGAGGGCCGGCGGCCGGGCCCAGGCCCCCGAGGCGACGCACAGCGGATCGAGCATACCCCGAGCCTGTAACGCAGGAGCGGAACCGGAGATGCACAGCCTGTACGCGCCATCGCCATCGCAAGTCTCGGCACTGACTAGTTTTCTGTGTAGCCCCAGCCTGTTCAATCCGAAATCTGTGTCCGGGCGAAGTCGGCGATGCATTCAACCAATTGTCGCCTGGACGCCCGAACCTGGGCATCGAAGGCTGAACCAAGAAGCCGCACCAAAATCCCGCACTGACGCGTGACCCGAGACTGGTCCTCAATGCAGCCATCAGTGCAAGACGTGCGTTTTGATTGGGGACACATGTCATGTGACGGAAGACTCACTCCACAAATCTGAAGACGTGTTGGAACGAGTTCCGTGATACGACTAGGACCGAACACACGTACACACACACACACACACCAGAGCTCAAGTCGCACGCTTGCTTCGAGTGCGTGGAATCGGGCTGGCAATGTCTTCATACGACCAAAACCACAACTGCCGGGGCCATGAGTCAGAGCAGAGCACACCACACAGTGTTCAAAACAACGACTCATGGGCAGAGTCAGCAGCGAGTGTGAGCCCGAAAATCAAGGAAGAAACCAGGAGGGTAGGCCTACAGGACTCCACGTTTTTCCTGTCCGCCAAGGAGCGGAGCTAGCAAGCTCTGCGTTGCTTGGCTTCGCCACTTCGCGGCGGCCGTGCGCAGAGCCTCGAAGAGCAGAGGCTGAGCACGTAAAGGACACCTTTATTGTTTCCGGGAACATCTCGAACGTCACAACTGCGCTGAGAGCCACACGGGAGGCGAAACACACGGTCCATTTGCTTGAGCATGGGACCGTCGCAGGGCAAACAATCCGAAATCAAGCACAAACAAGCTATCAAGGTGAAGCACGAACTCTGGCAGAGGAGGGTCCCTCTCTGAGAATTGCAAAGGTGGTCTCTGGGTCGGCTGTTCACACTGTACAGGACTCTTGCAAAGAAACCATTGGAAGTCTTTGCTGGAAATGACAATGAGGAAGACACCTCCTCAAAAGGCCGCAAAAGCCGGTTCACAAGTGCGTCCCAATCTCGTCCAGCTAACGACAGCAGCTGAATTCATCATCCCGCCGGCGCGGCTGAGGCCTGGATGCAGCGGCTACACGATGTCGCGCATAGTCGCACTGTATGCATGCTTAAGCGGGCGGCAAAGAAAGGAGCCACCCTGACCACAAGAAGCAACAACTTGCTTGAAAAGCATCAGTTCGATAGGCAATTGCCTGCCATGAAGCTCAAGATCAACATCCTGGCAGCAAGGGTACACAGACGTTCGACTGCGAGAAAGAGCTCGCCTCAGCACGCCGACGACGCTCACGATCCACGAGTTGCTTTCCGTCTCCCAGCCTCAGTATGCTATCGCAGCGAGAGGCTTTACTCAGAGCTTCTAGGTGGTTCCACAGCGCGCTGACCTCTCACTGCACCGGTGCTAGGGCCGCTAGGGTTCCCTTGTTGGGGTCTTGCAGTATCTCCGCAGAAGTGGCTGCAGCTTCGAAGCGATGCTACGGCGCAGCGTCGTGCATGTGACATTCACACACCGGGCAGCGAACGGGTCATCGCCACCAGCTCCAGCACCGAGATCGAAACTGCGGAAGCTACCCATGATCATGGATGACCCACATCGTGACGTCCCAGATCCGGCTCAGAAACGGACTCCATGATACCGAGAGTCAGGAACTGCAAGAAACGTGAATACACCTCGGTCTCTTGTCAGCCTTGCTCATTGTGACACTTCAAAAGCAAGGCCCAATCGTTGAAGATATTGCAGCAGCAGAGAAGCACGATGAGACAAGGAAAGACCTGAGGAGTTTTGCAGGGCCAACCAAAACCAATCCGAGAAAGCAAGCTGAAACTCTCTCAGCAGCCACCTGGTTGAAAGACTCGCCCAACACAGGCACCATGTTCATTTGACCCATGAATGCCTGCACATATGCCTACAAAAGCGGGTGAACATCGAGTGTCGCGGTCTTCGACATGCCAAGCTCCTGAAAGGTGGTACCCTTCACGCGAATCAGCAGAAGGAAGTGGTAGCACAGGGGTGCCTGAACAAATGCAGCAGTCAACGCCATACCGAACAGCAGAGCTACTCTTCTACTCTCCGGGACTCAGACTGCCAACCGAGCAAGGATCGAAGCACACCTTGGCAAGAAAGAAGCACAGCAGCCGCATCTCTCAGAATTCGACCGGATGCAAGCGGAGGCCACTGCATGAGAAGATCTGGAAAAAGGTGTTCAAAATTCCAGGCGGTGCAAGTACTGACATGAAGATCCGCGCCCGAAGCAGCCTTTTCACAAGCAGGGGTTGGATCACATCGTTCCTGTGGTTATTGCCATCAGCAGTGGTGCGATGTTTAAATTGTCGTAGACATGCACTCTTGGAATGAACTGTGGCAGCAATAGTGCGCACAACACAGGCAAGTCTCTTCGTGTTTCATGAAACATTGATACATGGATTGCGAGTTGATATGGTCGGGTTAGATCCTGTGCCACTGAAACTGGAGTAACTGGAGTGTTTTGGTTCACTCCCACGGACCGGACATGTCTCTGCTATGTGCGAAACATCAAACTCTATCCAACTAGCAGTAACTAGCATGGCCTTTGACACTGGGGACACTCCGGTGATAGAAGGTGCCAGTGGGAAATGATCTCTAAAACTGTACAAGCATACTGTCGCAGCCTGCTCTGCTTCTTCGTGTTCAACAGCACATTGCGTCCGCAGCTGTTTGACAGAGAACCGTCCCAAGCAGAGTTCAAAATGCCGGCCACTTGCTAGAAACAGCAAGCTCAGGGCTTCGGCAAAACTTCGCTGCGATGTGATGCCGTGAGAAGCTTTTTGTGCGGGATTCGGGCTAGCCATGTGGGAGAATCGTTTGTCAGGCTCACAATGCTCCTTCCGAGACAGATCGCTGGAAAGCTCATCATTCTCGGATCAGATCCTTCTCCATTGACCATCAAAGGTCCGAGATGATTGCAGTCTAACTAGTGGCCTAATACATTTCCTTATACTAGAAGGAGGCTATTGCCTAAGTAATACATTCCTATACAAGACGGAGCTTGGACCCTCGTGCTTCCATACTGCTTAGTAGACCCCTTACATAGGCAATATTAAAGGCCATAGGTAATTCCCACACGAAATCCTCCTACGAGCCTGGGATCTCGCTTTACCATTGGCCTCATCAACTTCGTGTGGGGAAAGAACGTAGATTCTCTCGGGCTGACAACACATCTTTGTGCACACACAGGTACGAACACGAAGCATCCACACCGCTAGACATTGTTCATAAGGCCCAACTGGATACCCCGAAACATGCGAACATAGACTCGGGAAACCACGTTACATTCAGACCTTGACCTGTTCATCTTTCTTTCTGAAAAACCAGCATGCATAATCCTCCTTGTAGCATGTGTCAGGACTTCAATCTTTGAAGATGGCACGCCTTTCCTCCACATTAGCGTGCGTAGTGGAGCACGAATTCATACACAGCACTGGCAGAAGCATATCGCACACGAGGCACATACAAGATAGAGGGTGGACAGACGACAAATTACAGCGGCTTAGAGCAACTGTGATTATATTTCGCTTTAAAAACGGGATAGTTGCAACTTAAGAATCGCTTTTTAAGAGAGAAGTGCGGGATTCCCAGTCCTATATAGTCAACAACGACCGCACAAACAGCCTTCGAATCTGAAACACAAAGAGGAGACAGGCATCTCGCGTTTTTTTCAACTGAACATGTGAGCACCGTTGCGCCGATCCTAGGCACCGCGCCTAAGCGCCGCGGCGATGGGCGATGGGCATGTGCCATGCGCCGTTGCGCGATGCGCCGTTGTGCCGATCCTTTGCGCCGTGTCGATGCCAGACCGTTGCGCCGATCGGGCGCATGGGGCCTCGCATACGCCGCGGTGCCGTAGCGCCGATCCGGCACCCCTGATTTTAAAATCAGAACACTTACTAACCGTGAATCCTTGAACTCAGAGCATGGAGCCTTGGACGGATGGGGCGCCCCTGATTTTACAATCAGAACTCTTATAGACCATGAACTCCGAGGCAGGAGCCTTGGACTGATGGGGCGCCCCTGATATTGAAAATCAGGGCGTTTACACACCTTGAACTCCGACGGACTGATGGGGCGCCCCAGATTTTAAGATCAGAACCCTTGCAAACCTTGAACTCCGGGGATGGAGCCTTGGACTGATGGGGCGCCCCTGATTTGAAAAATACGAACTCTG